ATTAAGGAGTAGTATTTGTATGGTCCATGGTTTTAAAGTTTTGTGATGGGGTATTCAAGGTTGTGGGATTTAACGGCTCCGTAAATCTTTCTTTCTTGTCCTTTTTGCGTGAGCAGAATAGAAACAGACACACTCACACTGGATCCTGAACACAACACGATGAAACGTAATTGGCACAGGTCAGGTCAACGTACACTTTACTGTCCCCGTAGGGAAATTTGTCCTCTGTATTTAACTCGTCCTTCAGTGCAGACCCACCCAGACACAGGGAGAACATACAAACTCCACACAGAAAGGCTAGGGTGTCCTGGGGATCTTCTTCTGAGATCTTCCAGAACTTTCTTGCTGTGAAGGGTGAATGGTAACTGTTCAGACACAGTTGCCCGGCAATGTTCTTTCCTGTTTGGAATCCATCGTGGTGTGCAGTGTTCTTCTGTGGTCAGTGTTTACCAGAGACACTGCTGTATGTGCTGATTGGCTTGTTGATAAAGGTGCTGAGTTGTGTGTGTGTAAGTATGGGTCCTGGCAGCCTGACATTTGTATTCTCAGTCTTTTCAGGCCAGACTAATTGATGGATGACTCCTCTTTCTTCTCTGACAGGCACACAGGTCACAGTAGCCATTCCCCTGGTTCTACCTCATGCTTAAGCTTGTTTATACCTGTCACTCTGCTAACATGTCCAAGAGATGGAATGTTTTCTTTGTAGCGTTTGGCTTAAGGGCAGTTTTTTTTTAGTTATTAGCAGCTCCCCAGGTCATTGTTCTAATTCTAGTACAACTTGAATTAGAGCCAAAGGGAACAATTCTTTATTTGAGTGGAAACAGTCTCTGGTGTGGAGAAAATGAAAGAACTCCTGCATGTCGAGTCGAGTTTTGTCGACTTAAAGATGCTGTTAGAAGAGTTGAGAGTGTCCTCACCTGAACACCGCGAAGAATGTTCAAGGGGATTTTTACATTTGAGATTTTCAGTAACAAAACTACTAGAAAAGACCTGAATGAAAATGGTTACAGGACTGCTAAAGTGTTCACCTGTCACCCTGAAAAGAACAGGTTTGATCTCAGCTCTATAGCATGTGATTGTTGTGTCATTTGGCAAGACACTTTTAACTTTATGTTATAGATAGATAGATAGATAGATATGTAGATATGTAGATAGGGTGTTGTGTTGTTAAAGCACACATATTGTGTGTGTATATATGTGGGTTATAACCAGTGGCAGTGAAAATGGGCGTTGATCGGCAAAATGGTGTCTTGGAAATAAGTGATTAAAGATGACTCAGACATACATGAATCACTCCAAATCCAACTTCAGAGGGGAAATGAGAAGGGGAAACAATTATAACATGGTTAAAAGAATCAGAATCAGAATTTATTTGTCATTTCAGTATAAAAAAATACACTGAAACTAAATACTGCACTTAGGTCCAGGTCAACAGTAGCACAGATAATAATAAGAATAAATAGTTAAAAATATTGTATGTCAAATACAGTCTTTAAAAAACAGCCCCCACCCGCCCCCATTTTCTAAAGTGTGTTCCAAGTGAGTGCTTTCTGACAGAATTGATCTGTCTCACGGCATCGGGATTAAAACTGTTCTGTAGTCTGGTGGTCCTGGCCTGTAGATGGCGTAATCTTCTGCCTGATGGGAGAGCTGTAAAAAGTCCATGTGCTGGATGGTGGAGTCTTTCATGATGCTGTGGGCTTTTGTCCTGCACCTGTTGATGTAAATATCTTCAACGCAGGGCAGATACAGCCACAGATGTGCTCTGCAGCTCTAACTATCCTCTGCAGAGTTTTCCTCTCTGCCCTGGTGCTGCTGCTGAACCACACAGTCATGTTGGTGGTGAGGATGTTCTCCACCACACACCTGTAAAAGACCTTCAGGACAGAGGGACCCACACCTGCTTTTTTGAGGCGCCTAAGGAAGTCTAGGCGTTGGTGTCCCTTTTTCACTGTGCAACTGGTGTTAGACCAGCTGAGACTGTTCAGGATCTGGACTCCCAGGTATTTAAGACAGGAAACAATCTCCACTGCATCTTCATTGATGTACAGAGGAGAAGGGGCATAGGTTTCCTGTGGAAATTCACAATCATCTCCTTTGTTTTCTTTACATTGATGCACAGATTGTTAGTTTTGCAGCAGGCCTCCAGCTGACAGACCTTCCTTCTGTAGTTGGACTCATCGTTGTTCATGATGAGCCCCACCACTGCTGTGTCATCAGCAAACTTCACTATATGATTGGATGAATAGTGAGCGACACAGTCATAAGTGAGCAGTGAATACAGAAGGGGGCTTAAAACACAGCCCTGGGGTGAGCCAGTGCTGAGGCAGATGGAGGAAGATGTGATGTTGTGGAAAAGCTCTAAAATGTCAAGTTTGCACAGCAGGTTTGCTTTACAATTAATTGCTATGGCGACAATTCTAAGTTTTCACCATCCTTAAACTCATGGACAGCCACCTGCCTCGTCAGCAGTGTGTGAAATACTGTCAATATTCAGGGGTCCCCATCTCCAAATTGTTGAGCAATACAAACTCAAATATGAAAAAAGACACCACGGTGGATGCCACAAACAGCCTAAACTGAATAGGCCCTATTCATTTAATTCAACTTATAAAATGAAATGCATTTATCTTTGTGTGAGAAATGCTACAGTTGGACTAGACCCACACCAGAGTCCTGACCCAGCGGGAGCAGCTCTGGTTCAGGCAGGGCTCAGAGGGGCTGAAGTGGGGAGTGATGTTAGGAGCCTCGGCCTGAGAAGAACATTCCCTGGGAATAACCAAGTGCATGGAGGACGGACGCTCAGAACAACCAACTAAACGGGATTCGTGCTTCTGTTCAGATGGTTTGTACCACCTTGGAGCCAGCCGCAATCCTCCAGAACAGAGGACTGGAGCAGCCCACTCGGACCTGTAGTCCACTGCGCACTGGTCTTGCTTGTCCCCATCTGGAACCAGCACATGGAGAACAGAGCCTCCAGACCATCTGACCAATGCACTCAGAGAATGGCACAAGACCAAGAAGCGGAACCCAGGCCCATCCTGAGGGGCTGCGAGCTATGATGACTGCTCCTGTTGACTGCTGCTGTTACCTGAACTCCAGGATGATGTGCGGTGAGTTTGTACAAAGTTCTACATGCTGCTGTTTTATGAGTTCAACTCATAAGTTGAGATGAGGACAGCCTGTGGTTTTAATGAAGAACATTGATACTTTTCGTAATTGGAGGAAGATCGGGAACATCGAGCTGACCCTGTCTGGGTCTGTATGAAATGGCGTCTGGACTATTTTTATGTTTGATTTTGAGGCTTTTTAGGGGGTGTGATAGGTTAATCAGGGGTCAGACCTCACCAAACACTGGGGATTTCACACTGTTTGTCATTCAGTAGGCTGCTTAGTTCCAGCATGTAAGCTTGCAGGATAGTGAATAAATAATGGATGACTTCCCACGTCTACTCAGATTTAGCAAGATCCAAATACACTTGTCTCTATTGTGATGTAACCTGGATTTTAAATTTTTTTAAAATAGTGCTGCAAATTTCAATGACAGGTTATTGTATGTATAGTCATGTTCTAATGCTGTTACCTCCTTCAGAACACACCTGACGTTGAGTTTAAAAATATGTTTATAGTATTTTTTTATTAAAAAAAGAGAAAATACGATCACTAGTAATTCGCAATATTTGTTTACGTTGCAGAGCATTCTGGGTCACCTCGTCACAAGGTTGTTGTCTTCTGTTGTCAGTTCAACTTTTGCTAATGCCATCGATTGATATAATGCCACACTGCGGGGCTTTCGGTTGTAATGTCCAGAAAAAAGTCTGACAATATACACGGATTTCTATCCTTAGCACACAAATATTTCTGAAAACTTTTTTACTCCATATTTCTTACTCCATACTAATAAAATGAAAATTTACTCCCCCTGATCTGCCCCTGACAGAAAACTGAGCTCTTCCCACAGACTCTGTCCCTCTCTGTTGCTTTGGTGAACACTTGTTGCACAGTCACCATTGTTTGTGAGCAGCTCTCTCTTCCTCACCTCTCTGATCGTCTTCATGTTCATCATTATTGTCCACCGAGTTGTCCTCCATACTTGATGTGCGCTCTGGTTCAAACTGAAAAGACTGAACAGAACCATGTTCATCAACAGAGACCGCCAATCCATACAACCTTGTGACGAGGTTACCCAGAATGCTTTGTGACATAAACAAATATGGTGAATTACTATAGTGATCGTATTTTCTCCTTTTTTATAAAAAAAAAAAAAAGATACAAATGAACATATTTGAGTTTTTTGGTATTACGTATTTATAACTGATGCCAACGTTAATCATATAAGAGCAGCGTGTCAAAGTAGCCGGGGATCCTTTTAAAGAGTAAATGAGAGCACTACGGTGCTTTGAGAGCCTTGAGAGTGGAAAAGCGCTATATAAACATGTGTTCATTTCCCGACTATCTGGACAGAACATCGGATTTAAAAGCACAGGTCTTTGGTCTTGGAGATGTTCTTGGAGATAAACTGTGAGCAAACACCTGCAGCAGAGCGCTCACCTCCTGCAGCACTACAGGGAGCTTCAGCGTCCACCACGTCAACCACCAGGGCCATCGCACAGTTTTAACTCCAAAAAAATGAAGCAAACATTTGAATTTTAAAGCAATTATTCAGTCAAATGTAGTTTACTCAAATGCTAAATAAAATATCCAAAATATCACAGCAAAAAGAAGCAAGCAGAATTTAAATGTGGAATTTTCAAATCTCTATTTTTCCAAAAATGAAAAACCAATTAGAAACCTTTTTTTCTTACATATATGTGAGTACTGCCGAGGGCATTTCAAAGTTTCTAAATTGAAAATGTTTTTCTTTTAAAAGCTATTTTAAGGATGCATATTTCTCTGCAATGGCCGACATAACTCTCTCATTTACCCTGGGACCTGAACTGTGCGCTGAAACTAAAAGAATCTCTGTCATGTTTAATCTTCTCCCTGTTGTGTTTGGTCAGAGCGCGGAGGAGAACTGGACTTCTCCACCTTCCTCACCATCATGCACCGGCAGCTCCAGCAGGAGGCGCCAGAGGAGGAGATCCTGGACGCTCTGAGGATGGCCGACAAAGAGCAGAAGGGCTACATCCTGGTCTCGGAACTCCGGGCCAAGCTCACCTGTCTGGGAGAGAGGCTCACGGACAAGGAGGGTGAGGAACGCACAACTACACGACAACAACACGACAACACGACAACAACAACAACACGACAACAACACAACAACAACACGACAACAACACGACAACACACACAACACGACAACACACACAACAACGACAACAACACGACAACAACACGACAACAACAACACGACAACAACAACGACAACAACACGACAACACCACAACAACACCACAACAACACCACAACACAACAGCACGACAACACGACAACAACACGACAACAACACGACAACAACAACAACACGACAACAACACGACAACAACACGACAACAACACGACAACAACAACACACAACAACACCACAACAACACGACAACACAACAACAACATGACAACAACACGACAACACGACAACAACACGACAACACACCAGCACGACAACAAAACAACACGACAACAACACAACACAACACAACACAACAACAACAACAACAACAACACGACAACACAACAGCATGACAACAACACAACAACACGACAACACAACAACACGACAACAACACAACAACACGACAACAACAACATAACACAACACAACAACACGACAACACAACACATCAACACGACAACACGAAAACACAACAACACGACAACACAATGCAACACAACAACACTACAACACAACACACCGACACACTGACACACCAACACAACAACACACCGACACAACAGCACAACACAACAACACATTAAACAGCTCTACTTTACATTTATTCAATGACAGGTGGTTTTACAGTTCAAAAATACCTAGAAAAAAAAGTCATTCTGACAGTGAGCAGGATCGCCTCTCCACAGATCTGACCTGGAACTTGGTTTGGTCTCCATGAAGATAGAAAGGTTTAATGCCATACTGTGAAACATTCCATTTAAAACAGTAGCAGCTCCTTGGAGAAAAGTATTTGATGGACCCTCCATCAGAAAAGTGACACAATGCACCTTTAACTGTAACAAGATATTTTCATGTTTAAGTACAACAAGTCTTGTTCTATTGGTAGATCATTTCACTCATCAAGTGAAATTCACTCAAATCATAATAAACTTTCTTAAATCAAGTCATCTTAATTTGACTAGATTTAAGTTTTTACAGTAACATGATATGTATAAGTAACTAGTAACTTATACATAGTAACTATGATATTACAAACCCAGGAAAGACTGGCCAAGAGTTTTACCACCAGTCCTTTGAGATGTTCTCCTTCTGCCTGTAATGTCCCACAGTGTAACATTAAACTTGCTGTCTTTATTTAATTGAGTGTTTTTATTGCTTAAAACATATTGAAAGAGCCACATGTGTGTGCGTGTGTGTGAGCTTGTATGATAAAAGGTGTAGGTATACACACATCATGTGTGCACAGCTACTGCACTGAACACAGAACGTGAGACAAAGCTGCACTTCCTCCCAAATATTTAATGAACGACAGTGTTTGGATAAGTGGATCTCCATCAGGTCATGACCTGCCTCTGGGAGTAAGTGTGCAGACTTTGTTTTACTTTCTGTGTGACCCTGTGAACACTGAGAGGTTTGTTAGCAATAAAAACAACATAAATAAACTAGATACATTTAATATAAAACTCTACACTCAAGGCAACACAATCACAGCTTCATTTGATTTTGTATTATAACAGTTTACTGCTTTGAAATGCAGTGCAGAGAGTTCATACAACAGAGTTCTGTACTTCACTTTCATACTAGGCAATGTGGGTGAAGTGTCTTACCATTTTATGTGACTGGCGCCCCCCTGTGGCACCTGCTTTTCCAAGTGTCTCCCATCCAAGTCCTGACCAGGCCTGGTCCTGCTGAGCTTTTCAGATCTGATGGGATCAGGCTTTGACAAACCAGTATGGCCTCATGAGAGGGACTGATGGAGCAGATTGACAGCCTCACTTTTGTCAGTCTGGTTTGAGGGGCTAAAACAAGACTGAAAACAACATTACTATAAACATTTTCCATGGCCATAGATGTTTTATGTCATACTGTGGAATATTACTGCCAAAGGAACAACAAAAACCTTCATGGTCAAGAGTCACTTTTGTCCTCTCCTCTCAGAGTAAGAAAGAAAAAACAAAAACAAAAAAGAAAAACAAAATGAAAGACAGAAATAAAACAAAATCATGGTTTTATTTTAATGTATTTTTTGGCTGTGACTCTAATTTTTCTAAAGAGGACATAGTATGCAAAATCAATCCTGAAGATCTTATTTTTTCCCATGTTCTAATAGGCTCTATTCACACTTATGTTACAAACCAAAAGACGTTTGGAAATATGAAGATGACGACTTCCTTTCTGCTCTGTTGGTGATAGTAACTTTGGGGTAATATCTGGGTTTTCTTCATCTAAATGTCATTATATTGTATATTTTTTTTCCTTTTATAAATGGCCTATTAATTTGTGTATTATCATTTGTCTAACTTAAAAAAAAAAAAAAAAAGATGTTCCAAACAGTTTCAAGAAGCTGCCTGTAGGTGCAGCTGTGATTAGAGTCCCATAATCCCCCATAAAAGCTTTGGCAGGTTGTGTTGGTAAGTTCTTCTGGTAAGTGTGAATAGAGCCTATCGTTTCGCCTTCTTCTCTACCCACTCAGAGCTGTATTTAAAGTGATCTTCATTCTTCTTCTTCAAGTCATTCACGTCATTGCTCCAATCTACCCGTGTTTTCACCACCACCAGTTCACGCCCCCGCCCTGTACTCATTCTCTAACTTGATTTTCTTTATCGGTGACACACGTTGGATTGAGTCATGTAAAGATCTGCAGCTGTCCCTCTCTTGTCCTGACCCTGCTCTGTCTGTGTGTCTTGTGTTCCAGTGGATGATCTGCTGAAGGAGGCGGGGGTGGGGGCTGACGGGAGAGTCTACTGTGAGCAGTTTGCCAAAGCTGTGGCTCGATCCTGCTCCAAGAGATGAACTGTGCTCCTCATGGACTCACAAAGGACTCACAAACATTTTACACTCTTTAAAATATATTTGTACTTATCGGTAATAAACATGTCAAGAATACAGAGTGACAGTTTTCAGATTCAAATGGTAAACGGTCATATACAGACGTGGACAAAATTGCTGGTATTTCTCTGGCAATGAAAGAAAAATCAACAATCATCACTGAAATAACTTGAAACTAATAAAAGCAATAATAAATACACATTTACTGGAAATTGTCCAACAAAAATCAAACATTGCTTTTCACCTGTAGTTTAACAGAATTATTAGAAAAAACTAAATAATGAAACTGGCCTGGACAAAAATGATGTTTCCCTTAACTTAATATTTTGTTACACAACCTTTTGAGGCAAACTCTGCCAAACCTTTTGAGCCAAACCTTTTGAACCAAATGATTTCTGTAACTGTCAATGAGACTTGTGCTTTGGTCAACTGGTATTTTGACCCACTTCTCGTGAGCAAACTGCTCTAGTCTTAGGTTTGAAGGGTTCCTTCTCCAGACAGAATGTTTCAGCTCCTTTCACAGATGTTCAGTAGAATTGAGATCTGGGCTCACAGAAGAACACTCCAGAACAGTCCAGTGTTTTGTTCTTAGCCATTCTTGTGTGTGTTCAGCTGTGTGTTTTGGGTCATTATCCTATTAGAAGATCCATGATCTATGAGATCAAGCTTTCTGACACTAGGTAACACATTTCGGTCCAAAATACCTTGTTAGTTTAGAGATTTCATTGTACCTTGCACAGATTCAAGACGCCCTGTGCCAGATGCAGCAAAACAGGCCCAGAACAAAACCAAACCTCCGTGTTTCACAGTAGGAACAGTGTTCTTTTCTTGGTGTGTTTCATTTTTGCGTCTGTGAACATAGAGCTGATGTGTTTTGCCAAAGAGCTTCAGTTTTGTCGCATCTGTTCAAAGAACATTCTCCCAGAAGCTTTGTGGTTTGTCAATATGCATAATGACACATTCCAGTCTCACTTTTTTATGATTTGATCTCAGCAGTGGTGTCCTCACATGAAGTCCACTTTGGCTCAAACACTGATGGATGGTGTGATCTTGTTTGTAGGTTGTTCTAGGCTCTTTGGTTCCATTCATATGATCCATTGTCATAAATGTTCCTCTTGCAGCCGCGTCCAGGGACGTTGGCTTCAGTCCTGTGGACATTAAACTTGTGAAGAACATGTGTAACTGTAATCACAGGATCATCAGCTGCATGGAGATGGTCTTATTGTCTTTATCTTTAACCTGTTTGTTTATCATTTTCTTTCTAGTCTCCTAACACAGTTCTCTTCTTCTCTTTCTCTCGTCCATGTTCAGTGTTGTGTCCATCATGTCTCCAAACAGCACAATGACACATGTCGCCCTTTAAACACACAGACTGACTGAGGACAAGTTTGAAGAACCTGTGATGCAGATTAGAGACACACCAAAGTTTAACATGTCCCTATTGTCCAAGTGTTTACAAGCTTTTCTAGGGCAACCATCATTTTGTCCAGGCCAGTTTCATTAGTTTTTTTTAAATAATCCTTTTGAACAATTCAAAAACAGTGTCTGATTTTCATTGGTTATTTTCAGGATTTTATTATTTATTATGGCTTTTCTTAGTTTCAAGTTATTTCAGTAAACATGTTAGATTTTTCTTTCATTACCAGAGGGGTACCAACAATTTTTATCCATATAAATAAACATATCTATCTTCAAGGTACTCAAAGATTTTTACACCAAGGAACCACTCACCCAAATTCTACCAACGATGTAATTTGTGTCAAGAATGGGAGTCGAATCATCAGCCTTCGGATCAGGGGACGAGCTACTGCCACAGAGTCTGATGATGCCATATTCCCAGAGATGGAAGATGGACAGATATGGCCATTTTTCTACTCCACAAATCTTACAGCCAGTCTAATCTTTAATGGCTTGTGTTTTAAGCTTTTACAGCAAGGTACGGTACTTTACTGTCCTTTTCCTCGTAGGGAATGTTGCCGTCTGCTTTTGACCCATCCTTCAATACAGCTGTACGCCAACCAGAATCCACAGAGTAAACACATCAAGACCCAGAGAGAACATGCAAACTCCACACAGAAAAAAACGGCATTGAACTTGGAACCATCTAGTTGTGAAGTAGTGTTCACACGGTACTAACATTTCAAACTTGATATACTAAGGAATAGACCCAATACTCAATACTGATTTTGATACCACATTTATGATTTAAAAAAAATTGTTCTTTAGACAATAGAACCCCATTTTCAACATTACCTCATAGTACTTTCTTTTATATTTCCCATGTGATCTTATATGTGTGTAATCCTCAGTGGTGCAGGTAGATTGGATAGTGTCCATGTGTGTGTACTAGTCTAAGTGCTCTTATACGTGTTCTGATACAGCTCAACATCATTCTAAAGACATTCAGGAAAGGTTCATTTCTGTCCTGTGAATGTGACTTTTTAGTATCGATGCCTAGTCAGGC